TTCTTCTGGAGCTAATTTTTGGAGGCTCAAGAAAAGATTTCTGGAAAAATTGAAGAAATTCAATTTTCTATTTTTTCAATGGCAGAGTTTCGAAGGAGAAGATGAAAATTATTGAAACGCTTGAGGAGATGGTAGTCAGTTGGCGAAAGATCTACGGAGTATGGTTGGTGAGACATAACTTTGATGCACACGTCGTTTCATTTTCGGACCATTTGACCGGTTTTGACCCGGTTGTAGGAAGTTATAGTGAATGACACAATCTACTGACTACCATACAGGAACCATGATTTTCTTTTGGTGAGTTTCGCCATTTGGAAGAGCCTGGGTGGCTCAACGGTATCCAGTCATTGTCCCAAACGTTTCGTGTTGTCGTGGAAAATCCACTTTTCACCACACATGATGATCCTACTCAAAAAAGGATCATTTTGGTTGCGCAAATGCAAAGAAGAACAGACCTCAAACCTTGATAATTTCTGTCGATTTTTCGACTTGGGGCACCCACTTCTGAGCGTTTTTATCTTTCTATAACGTTTTCAGACATCAATAGTCACACAAGAGACGACGCCCAGTTCTTTTGCCATCTTTTTGCACCGTTTGTGATGAGTCAGTTTCCTCCGGAGTCCTCAAATCCTCGTCCGGAATTATTGTTATTTCGAGACTCATATTCAAGGTTGAAATCTCCAGAACTGAATTCTGCAAACCAATTTTGAACAGTCCGTTCATTAAAACTATCATTGTCAAATGCCTGGTTCATTTTTCAGTCTATTTTAGCGGTGCTTTGGCTCAACTCGAATTCGTACAAAAAATTGGCTCATGTTAATAAGCTGGAAAGAGGCAAAAAAAATTTGGAAAAAATGAACAGCGTCAATAAATAGAGTGAAGATTTTTCTATCGATTAGCATATACCATGATACAGTAAAATAAATACAGTGTGTAATAACGAAAACTTAACAGAGCCGTTTTTGAATATAAAAAGTAAGATTTTTGAAAAAAGCTCGGACACTTCGATTCCTAATTGAAGGGGGACACCTTTCAGACTAATCAGATTTTTTGTAGTATGCACCCCCTCGGAGGGGGGCGTAGGTCGAGTAGCACCTTGTTTTGAAGGTCTTTCGAATACCTTCATATTTCTGTTAAAAAAAAATTGTAACGATTAGTTTCCGAGATAATTTAAAGATTTAAAGGTATTTTCATTGAGTTCAACTCTTTTTTAAAATAAATCAAATTGTTTTTAAGGTACAATTTACGTTCAGAACTTTCATAAAAAAAATAATTTTTGCTATTTATGACAACCTGCTAATACGTGTCCATTTGATCTCGTGAAGAAGTAAGAATTATTTGTTTATCACGAGGAGATTTTTTCGGGGGATGGGGTTGGACATTTCAGGTAAATTGAGTGACACCTCCTTATGAAGGTTGCCTTTTGACGTGGATATTTTATGCTTCTGATAAGAAAGTGAATCATACTAAAAACTTACCTACACAACGAATACAACCTGCTGATTTCCCTGAATGCTGATGACATACAAAAGTTTGAAAAACTGTTAATAAATCCCAATAATTGTTTTTAAAGCACACGCAAGAAAAGTAACACCTAATGAGGGTAACTCACATAGGAAATTTAGAGTAAATTTTCAAAATGTGTGCCATGAAACAATGAAGATTTTGTTCGAATTTTTCTCTTACATCATTTAACATCTCAGGAGTTATAGCTCGGCATTCATCAATAGTTCTACGACGTAATTCATCCAAATTGGCTGGCTGTGTAGCATAAACTTTATAATTTAAATATCCCTACAAAAAGTAGTCCAGTGGTGTTAAATCTGGTGATCGTGTTGGCCATTCAATTGGACCTCTTCTGCCAATCCATTGTCCTTCAAAATGATTATTCAAAAAATTTCGAACCTGCTGGGCATAATGCCGCACCGTCTTGTTGAAAATAGATAAATTCACCTTGACATCTTGGATCCTGTTCAATTATTTTAACTATACGAGGTTGCCTCTTTAAGAAATTGTAAATAAGAATCACCGGTTAAATTTCCATCAATGAAATATGGACCTATAATATGATTGCCTAATATTCCGGCCCAGACATTCAACTTTTGGGGATGTTGGGTATGTATTTCTGCGTATTGTCTTGGGTTTTCATCCGACCAATAACGGCAATTGTGACGGTTCACGCAACCATTTAAATAAAATTATCTTTCGCCCGAAAAACAGATGTTATAAAGCAGCCCGGGATTTTGCATTAATCTCTCACTCATGCCCTCACAAAACTCCTGTATTTGGTCAAAATCATCCTCATTGAGTTCATGAACAAGTTAAATTTTGTAAGGATGGAATTTGTGGTTTTTAAGGATTCTCCATGCGCTCATATGGCTTATTCCGGCCATTGCTGATAAACCTCTGGTACTTAACCTGGGATTGGTGATGACTTGACCAATCTTTCCAATCGCATTATCGTCATTCACTACCCTTCTCCGAACATTCCTTTTCTTATTTGAAACCGAACCTCTCTCCCTGAATTTTGTGACCAAATCCAGAACATGATTTCTGTTAGGTGTTTATCAGGGTTTTGAACGTTGAATAAAATTGATGTTCTATTAGCATTTTGGTCGTTGCCAAAAAATAAAGCAATAACTGAAACCCTTTCAGCAGTAGTGTAAGGCATTTTTAAGCAAATAACAATACACGACCCGTTTAAACGAAACAATCGAACGATGTACTAATGAAAACTGGAAGAAGAGGAGTGGGTATTGATTTTAAAAAAGGGATTTTATTCAACAAAAAACTGATAAGAAGAACTGCTCGAATTTTTTTTTATTTAAGCATACAAGTTACCGAGTGGTCTGTCTAAGGTATCATTAACAATGCAATTTCAACTTCAAATTATCTCGAAAACTAATCGTTACAAAATTTTTTTTCAACAGAGTTGTAAAGGTATTTAAAAGACCTTTAAAACAAGGTGCCACTTGACTACTTTCTCCATCTAAATAAGAGTCGTCGGACGCACCCCTCCGAGGGGGTGCGTAATACAAAAAATCTGATTAGTCTGAAAGGTGTCCCCCATTAATTAGAAATCGACGTGTCCGAGCTTTTTTTAAAAATCTTACTTTTTATATTCAGAAACGGCTCTGTTAAGTTTCAGTTGTTACACACTGTATTATTAATAATGACAATGTAATTAATGTATATAATACATTTGTAACAGAATGTAATAAAATTTTATTGAAAATTGAATGAATATGTTTTGTTTATTGCTATTTGGTCAAAACAAATCGTGTTGAAACTACTTTCAACACTAGTGTTAAAAATATTTTCAGCACGCTACTTTGTAAACATCTTTAAATACTCTCGACAACTATTAAAATGCCACTTTCAATGACTGTTGTACAAAAACACTTTTCTCTATTCAGTTTGTATTTCAAACATTGGGAACATGGAATTGAATCAGATATCACTCACAGAATTCCTACACAATAAATGGAAGAGGTAAAATTCCACTCACATGAAACACTATCAACCTCACTGGTAGACAGCCAGTGAGGTTGATTTCGTTTCCTACTTCTCCATCTTGATACGAAAAAATTTGGAAATCTCCCAAAGATTCAATGCCATAACGAACATTTGGAATACAAATTGAATTGAGACAAGTATTTTCCGTATATTGAATAGACTGACGCCTATCAGAAAACAACTACTCCCCTGGCTAATACCACGAAGGGCGTTGGATTATATCCGACAAGCGTCAGTGCAGGAATCTTCACAGAAAATTTCCTGAATATGCAGTTGGCAGTACAACTGAAAAATTCAACCTTCAATTTCGGAACGGTCACACTTTCAGACCGGTTTCGGGCTCATTAGCCACTAATCAGTGTAAGATAGTGACCATCATCTTTCTAAAGTCAATGATATTCCATAATTGAGAATCGGAATTCTTTCAGCAAAATGTCACTCCATCTAGTGGACGAGGTACATTTGAAGTATATTCGAGACTGGTTTGAACGTTTAAAATTCATTTCCTTATATTTTCCGTATAATTCAGTATAGTGAGAGTATTTTTCTTCAACGTAATTGAATGTTCATGTGAAAGTAGCCAGTTTGTGTCTGATAGTTACTCCTCCGCATGATCTACACATCTTTGTATATAGTTCCCTTTTTAAATTGATTGTTTCCTTCTTTCCTTTGAAATATCCTCACATTTTCTTATATCAAGATAGAGTAGTAGAATGCCAAAACGTTTCTTTCCCAAAAACTGTTAGATATAATAATTTTTTTTAAGTTCTGAGGACGCAGACAGATTTTTATCTCCGAAATATTGGGAAGTATCTCTTCAATTCTCAGTGTTTTTGATAGGCGAGAAGTTGTTTTTTCTTTGAGAAAAAAACAGTGAATTAACACTGTAAAATATGGGAATTTGTCCTCTTGACACCTGTCAGAGCTCTTCATTACAATTTTTTGGATCGTGGAAGGTGACAATCTACAGAAAGAAGGACAAAAAATGTATTTTCCTCACCAAAAATGACTTTCGTTCAATATTGATAATAACTTCCAAACTAATTGTCAGCGCCACTCTGTTCAAATATTTTATGGTTGAAATCTCGAGTCGACTGACACCTCAATCATAATTTGCGAAATGTCCCTCGTGAACTAGACTATACTGTGTTGCACAGGTATCAGTGTTGACTGAAACTACGTCACAGAGCGAGAGGACCGGTATTGATTGGTAGGTGCTGGTTCTTCCAGGTCCACGGCTGCGTACTCAATCCTCAAACTACCCCCGGCTCGCATCTCTGTCCGGCGAGCTACAAGCGAAGAAGAAGGAGCTACAGCGGCACGAATGTGAGACTGGGAGCTGCTATTATTCGCAAATTCTGCCCGCCATGCGCCCTGAGTGAGCCCTAGCTAAACCCGGAGACCACTCCTTGTGTCGGTGTCGGATGTGACACTACAACTGTAAGAGTGTTCTGTGCCCAAAAATGACGAGAAACAGGGGACACGTGTAGAACCCCCAGGATGGGGCACAGCCGGGTGGTTTGGCCAGCCGCGCTGCTGGCCCTTTTTGCCCTGCGATGGGCATCCGCTGGGTGAGTTGGGTTTCCTTGTGCATGTGCTTCAGAAGGATTCTTGCATGGGTGTGTTTCTCCCTAACACTGGGAGTGTTGAGTGTTTTTTTTAGATCAAAGCATTGACACAGCATTGAAATTGTTGAAAATTAACGAATATAACAAATGCCTACTTTTTATTCGATTCTTGTACAGATTATCGGAAACATGTTAGTCTCAGCACTGTTAGAGTTGTTTTATTCAAGTGTCAGCTCATCAACTGAAAACATATAAATATTTTTCATCAGTTGCTTCTCATTCATAGGAAAAATGTGTGTTTTCTCCACTCGGAAGTTTTTGCTCAACCATAATGAAATTTCTATTCCGTTTCTAAAAATACTGGAAGCAGCGTATACTACATTGAATCAGAATCATTCAGCCCAGTGCCATTATCAACAGATTTTCATTCATTATGATGATCTAGATGTTTCTGCCTCGATACGTCAATAGGGCAGAAAAATAATTACTTCTGAGTAATCATCATTGTTTTTGTTTTCAAGCACTGAAACAAAAATGTTCCCATATTTTATTCCTCAAGCCATATAGATTGCATAAGTGTATGAATTTTCAGTAGCAATTGAATTGTATATTATTAAAATAGTCATAATACAATGAAAATAATTAGTTATCTTAGGAACATAAGGGTAGGAACCCGGAAAATATTGAAAAACTTTTGAAATTGATTCTACTTCGGAGTTTTCAATTCATTTTCCAGTCGATCATTAGGTTTTCGTTGTTAGTTCAAGTCATTTTATCGAAAATGGAGAAGATATTATGACGTTGAATGGTGCTGTCATAAAGTAAAATGATGTAACTGGGAAAACAAGTAATTTTGTCGTTGGACATTGGTTATATTGCCTGCTTGGATTATCACTAGAAGTTCATCTTTGACGTATATTGTATCAGATTTGGGACGAAATGTCATTTCTCATTATGAAATTTTACAAAATTCCACGTTTTTATTTTCTTTTAACAATTATTTCTGCATTTTGGTGTTTGGATATGAAAAAATGCAAAAAAAAATCTGATACACGAGTATTTTTTTTGTGTTAGTTCAGATTTTGATTGAGTAAACTGAAAGTGTGAGTACTGACCACTCTGTCTTGATCAATTCGCACTCGCAGTAGGAATTAGTATACAACATTTCCTGAATTTTGAAATTATTTTGTAAAAACGAGCATTTAGATATCTCAAGATAGAAGGAAATTGAAATCTCAACTATTCCCACTTCAAGTCTAGTGAGGTTCTCAATTTTTATACAAGAAGAGTTTATGAAATATTTTGCTGAATTTGATTTTGATTATGGTTCGCTTTTCACTCTATGAATAATTATTTTGTCGATTTATGTAGTACAATCAATATTTGCATACAATTTGAGAATATTTTTATTTTTATTTCTTCACTGCCATACTTTTCATTCACTCAAATAAATTTCACGCTTCTCATAGATATTTTTATTTCGTTTGGCTTATTCATTTCACTGATTTTTGAATGCTGTAATACCAATGATGGAATTTTTTTGCCTCAAAAATCAATAAATCACTGGAACATAATGAATGATGAAATATTCATTGGCAAAATGGTACCCAAATTCCTTCAACATATAAAATATATGAACTCAAGTGTAATTCGGAGTGATATCTCCGAAACTATTTGTGGAGATCTAATAATAATTTGTTATTCGAATGAATAATTTTCTTATAGTATCGACCAATTCCACTACATATGTGTGAAAACTGTTGATAATTAGAAATGAATCGAGGATATTTTTCGATCACGTACAATTTTATCAAGGACCTGTTACATTCAGAGGTAGAAGTAGAAGGGAAATTTGATGACTGATGACAAATGTTGAAACAAAATAGTTGTTGAAGAAATCATGTATCTAAATGCCAATGGGTCAATCCGATGAAGTACACTGACGGCGTCGGATAGAGTGTTGCAGTTCTGGTGTTTAATGACAGTACTCATCTTGAATTCAGTATACGTGAGAAGTTTCATTCTATTTAACAACAGAAAAAAATTAGACATATCTTTAACACAGAATTATTCGTGCGTTACTGTGTTACGTTTATTTCAATTCTATTTGTTGAGTTAAAATTACTTTGTACACAAATCAAATAAAATGAATCATCGGCACCTTCGCCAGAATTTTCGTATAACTTTCCCCGCGACATACTTGCTCTTGATCAATTTTATGACTGTCTATTTCTCTATCTTTTCACAAAAAATGTAGGAAACTTCAATGAGGAGAAATATAGCGATTCATTTCAGAATAAACCCTTTATAAAAATGTATAGATCATGCACAGAAGTTACTTTCAGACACAAGCTGGAATAAAAAGCCTTCTCAGAATAATTGCAATTCATGAAACAATTCAATGAATTACTATTACAATGAATTGAAGGAGTTATATTTTCAGGAGTGAATAATTTTTGGGAAAGAAAGTTTTTGGCTTTCTACTACACCATCTCGATACAAAAAAAAAGATGAGGGAATCTTCCAAAGAAAGGAAGGAAGTAATTGATTTGAAAATGAGTAACTCTATACATGGATGTGTAGATCATCTACACATGATGTATATAGTAACTTATGCATGATGCATTGCATGATCTACATATACATGTATAGAGTTACTCATTTTCATATCGATTACTTTCTTCCTTTCTTTGGAAGATTCCCTCATCTTTTTTTTTGTATCGAGATGGAGTAGTAGAAAACCAAAAACTTTCTTTCCCAAAAACTATTAGAATATAATCAATCAGTAGCTAGTAGGTCTGAGAGCACGAGATTGTGTATTTCGGGAGTCGGCATTGTTCGATGACGAAATATTTCTGAACATTCAAGTTCGAGAAGTTGAATTTCTTAGTTATAATATTCAAATTAAAAAATTCCAATTTGAACGATTGGTAGAAATGAAAACATAACTATAAATTTCATCTTATATTCTATGAATATTGTTATCTGAAAAAAAAAGAATCCACCATATACATCTAGAATCCAAAAATCAGCCACTGGATACTGAAGGTGTGTTTGACGATAACGTTTTGCCAAACTTGGTAATATCCCACATACAGTTCAATTTCTATGTAATAATTGTAATATCCTGGTGGAAGTTTTGCCTTATTCTTCAGTGGTATTTTCTGAATATTCAGAAAACGATTCAATCAAGTGTTGTTGTTGGGCATGATGCTGATAGTTTCAACCTAGTTTTCATCATTCCAATGACATTTTAGATTCGTAGAGTTCCCGTTGAAAAATATATGTTTCATCTGCCTCTCAAAATGATTAGTTCAAAAAATAGCTCCCTCCAAGTCTAAAGTGCGAATGAAAAATAATTTGATGACTTGATGTGTTCACAGTTTTCGAAAATCAGAAAAATATTAATCTCCAAGAGCAAGTTTGTTGCGAGGAAAATTGTACAGAATTTTTGGCGAAGGTGACGATAATATGTTTTATAAAGTATCGACACCTTCGCCATTTTTTAATACAAGTTCGAATTTGATACAATTTACTGACTGGAATTGAAATACATAATACATGACAAGGAAGAGATAATGTGGCACTATTTCTTCAAATATTTCATCTGAAAATCTGTTCACTTCCATAAACTTCATAATTTCTTCAGTCAAGTCTAAATTACTCATTTGTCATCTTCTGCAAAGCTTTATCGAACATTCCAGAAATTTTACATACATCAGTAATGGGTGGGGTTTACAATGTCTACTGTATAAATTAAATTTGATTGTTGAAAGGAATACCAGCCCATCCGCATTTTGTTTGTCGAAGTTACTACTTGAATCTTGAATATGCCTTCTCATGGCTGCTTGTTCAGCCATGAGAACGACCGGCATCGATGCCGGTCGTTCTTCTTCTCAGTATGCTTTCCTGTTTTCCCAGTAATTTCCTCAACTAAAAGCAGTACTTTGTTCAAAACTCAAATACCGCTAAATCCGCTTAATAGAGACAGATTATAACACTGCTCAAAGTGAATATATCTGGGATAAAATTTGTATAGGGTGGATACAACTGAGATATAGTTGAATAGTTTCATACTTTAACGCGTAGTTGGGAATCCTCCAAGAGATTTTCATTGAGAACCCAATATAATAAGGACATTCTACTTTCAAAATCCCGATTGATAACGAATATTTAGTTCTTCTGCAAACAACAGAAGATGAGTCAGTTGAATCCCAAACGGCAGTTTGGGATCAATTGACTCAATGTGGCACTATGAGACATTTATGAAACCTGGGAGAGAAAATCAATTGTTAACTAGTAGCAAATCTATCTATCAACACAATGTCCATCGTGTTATCAGCCGGGAAAGTGATTGTTTTTCAGAAAGCTCTTACCAGATTTTACTATGTTGACAGAGATCAATGCTTTGAAATATGAATTTTATTATATTATATTGTAGGTATCAGACTTGAAATGGTTTACTTATCTTTTCATCTTTGTAGATGTGAGCTGGTTTCTTCATGATTGGCAGTTATAACTCTTGAATGCTACTAAAATTCGATATTGAAATTCATTCCATCTGGCCCATTGTTTCTATTCGAAAACACCACAGGTTATTATTATGAACGTGATTACGAAATGACAGGCATACCTCAGGGATCAAAACTGGGGCCTCTGCTGTTTATTTGTTCCATCAATGACCTTTCGACTTACTGTACTGCTTGATGCTTATCTATGGATTGTGTATGTAGATGATACTTATCTGTCTATATCAGCAGTTAGTATTCCCATTATGCTTAGTAGTGCGCAGAAGGCTACAAATCAACTCTTCCAGTGGTGAGATTTGAATGAACTAGTTCCCAATACAACCAAAACTCAAACGACTAATTTAGTAGATAGCAGCTACTCAGTGAAACTGAACAACACGTCAATTTGACAAGTCTGTGACATAAGATCGATTCTGAACTCGCCTGAAGCAATCTTGAAGTATTGTAACTGGTATATTTTAGTCTCATTCACTA